ACTGCAACAAATAGTGGCATAACTTCCATGTACTATCGATGCCAAATCTCTTTCGACCATTGGCTCTTTTATAGTTTCGATGTGGAAAGAAGCTCGCGGGGGACAATGTGATTGGCTTGTATGCCACAACGCGGCGTAAACCTGGTTGCGCAATTCGCGAGGAAGAGCAAACACACTTTGGGTAAGCTCATTATTGGCAGCCTTCGTGTAGCGATCGGCAGCTTTGTAGACGGCGATGCGCAGCCCAGATGTCTTCTGCGCTTTGGTCTTCAGAAGGGATTTTGCCCTATCTGTCGATTTACATATAGTAAGTATGCATAAAAGATACCTTGATAGGTATTGGCGACGCACAACAACATAACAACTTGATGAGCTTTGAGCGTGGCACTCCGCGGTCGTTCTGATTCGGATGGATCCAGATCACACGCTGTCAAAGGTTCTCAGGTAACCAATTACAATAGCGCCTAGTAGAGCACTTGTGCAAATCCCAGATGGGGCCCTCTTAACGGATTCAAGAAATGTTAAAAAATTGATGGGATGAGATATTTCATATAGCCCGAGACAACGCAAGCAGGATTCCTCTGTATGTGCTTAGTCAACCAAGCTGTACTTCGACACAAAGACTTCAACATTAGACAAGTGCAGATCTGAGCACGATAACACATTACGTGTAGTGGCCTATGTAAGCGCAAGTAGAGCAATTATTCGGGCTTGTTATTTCTGAAAACTTCTTTTCTCCTATTCATTTGACCTATGACTCGGTAGTCTTGTGGGAGGAAAACAGATGCAGCGCAACAGGACCTCCATTCCTCATCAGCTAATTTCCCACTACTAGATATTCCAACTCTTATCTCTATAGCCCCCCCTCCAATAAGACTTCCCATGGCTAACTTTTCTGCCAAGATGCCAAGACTCCTCGATGCCTGCGCCATTGGTGCAAAAACACTGGGGGCATCCCGGGGACACGTCGAAAGGGGGATGGCAAGGAACTTCTTCATTTATTCGAGGAATGCTCGGAGGAAGTTGCGAACCCTGGGCGGAGAATTAGGTCGGTGGTGAAGGGCTCTCGTGGTCAAGCGCAACGGCTAGCTTGCGGGGTGCATGGTATGGGAGCATTTCTCCTTCCAAAAGGGTCATTGTAAACAGGTACTTAAGTAGTCTTATAAGGACGCAAATGGCTCATTGCTGAAAGATTTACAGAGAATCTCTACTGCCCTATTGTATTCGCTTCAATTCATTGTATATACCTTCTGTCAAGGTTCTCAATATGCCTTGCCTTAACCTCCTCTTCCTTGTTTCTATCCTCCCCTCTGTTCTCGCAGCAACTCTCTATGTCTCACCTACGGGATCCGACAGTGCTGCTGGCAGTCTGACTGCGCCTTTACAATCTATTCAATCCGCTATTGACAAAGCTGTTGCAGGTGACACCGTCTACCTCCGGGGAGGGACCTACTCGCCCACCAAGAACATCCAGATCAAGAAATCTGGGACTTCTGCCAACCCCTATACGCTCTCGGCATACGGCACTGAAGTCCCAGTCATCGATGGTGAGGCACTGCCGTCCACTCCGGCTGCCGTCGGGGGCAGTGTTGCGAGCGCTGACCGCGGTGTGCTTCATTTCGAGAATGCGAACTACTGGAATGTCATCGGAATAACATTGATCAACGGTCCATATGGAATATATGCAACAGCTAGTTCGAACAACTTGTTTGAGAGGATTGTAACGCACGACAACTATGAGACGGGGTTCCAGTTGCAAGGGGCTTCATCGAACAATAAGATCTACTACCTGGACAGCTATAGAAACAGAGATCCTCGGAAGAATGGCGAAAGCGCTGATGGCTTTGCTTGCAAGGAGGGCAGTGGAGACGGCAACATCTTGAAGGGTGCTAGACTTTGGGAGAATGTTGACGATGGTTTGGATCTGTGGTATGTTGATTGTGCATATACGAACGCCTTCACTGACTGATGGTCCCAGGGAGTTTAAATCCAAGGTGACCGTGATTGACACCATTTCATGGGGGAACGGTGTGAACCGTTGGGGCTTCACCGATTTCCAGGGTGACGGCAACGGATTCAAACTTGGAGGCGGAGATGCTGCAGATATTGGGCCCGCGAACCACAACATATCCAACTGCATAGCGTTCTCCAATGCCGCCAAGGGTTTCACCGATAATAGTCAGACGGGCAATTTCATTATGCTCCGCAACACTGCCTGGAGCAACGGCGACGTCGGCTTCAAATTGTCGACTGCGGCTACAACACTATCCAATAACATCGCCGCTTCGAATATTGGGTCGACCACCAACAGTGCACAAGTAACGATATCTGGCAGCCAAACGCTGAGCGGAAACTCGTGGAGTGGTAGTGCGTCTTGGCCCAATTCTGCGTTCAAGAGCGTGGACGTGTCCCTCGTGAAGGGAGCACGCGCTGCCAATGGAAAAATTGCTGCAAGTAACTTCTTGTTGCCAGCTTCAGGAGCTGCCATTGGAGCGACGACGGCTTGGGCATAAAATATCGACCCATGGGTAATATAGGGCCTGAAGTGACTCCCGCAAGTATTTTCATGTACATATCTATCAGCATGGCATCTTTATCAGTCTTTGATCCCGATCAGCCCATCGCCAAGGTTCTTCTGTGATTCTGCCTTTATTATTTGTACCTCGGAAGCGCCTTGGCCAGCCATATTCAGGTCGAAGGAGTTGAGATCGTCCATGTGCTTGTGCAATTTGAGGGGTTCGCAATGTCAGAAGACTCTTGTTCCGCAACATTTGAACTGGCCTATGAGTAGACCCGGGGGATCCTGCAAAGAGGACGTGTTGGGCTAGAATGCAGCCAAGCCTGTAAATGCTACCTCTATGATGGGAAATGATTTGTTGTGGCAGATATGAATAAATTGATGAGATGTCATGGAAAACTGGTCGATGATGACGAAGATTGGAAGCCTACCGGATCGGCCAATCTTTTTGCCGAGTCATCAGGACCTCAAGGCAGAGCTTCCATCGAAGTTGTGATCTCTGTCCCCCACCCACCACCAATTCCACATCCACAATGGCGTCTCGCACCCGCCTGGTCGCCTCAACAGGCGCTGGGCTAATACGTGCCACCCGAACTCCTGCCTTCTCCTCGCGCATCGCGCCGCTCGCCGTGGCAACCTCCACACGTAGCTTCTCGCAGCTCAACTCTCACTTCGCGCCAGGCTCCTCACCCTCCAACATATTCTCCGCTCTTGGCCAGGGCAGCTCGAATTCCGGCCCACCATCATACTTTCAGTCTTCGAAACGAACACCCGCAAACACAGTCATCAAGTTTGTTCCACAGCAGACGGCATGGATCGTAGAGCGCATGGGGAAGTTCAACCGCATACTAGAGCCTGGTGTGGCCATCTTGATCCCGTTTATCGATCGCATTGCGTACGTCAAGAGCTTGAAAGAGAATGCGCTTGAGATCCCAAGTCAGAGTGCTATTACGGCGGACAACGTGACCCTGGAGCTCGACGGCGTTCTCTACACGAGAGTCTTCGATGCTTATAAAGCCAGCTACGGTGTGGAAGACGCCGAGTATGCTATTTCGCAACTCGCCCAAACCACCATGCGCTCGGAAATCGGCCAGCTCTCTCTTGACCACGTCCTCAAAGAGCGCGCCAACCTCAACGCGAACATCACCGCCGCTATCAACGAAGCAGCGCAAGACTGGGGCGTCACCTGCCTGCGCTACGAAATCCGCGACATCCACGCCCCCGAGCCGGTCGTCGAAGCCATGCACCGCCAAGTCACCGCAGAACGCAGCAAGCGTGCCGAGATCTTGGAGTCGGAAGGTCAGAGGCAATCTGCCATCAACATGGCCGAGGGAAAGAAACAGAGTGTGATCCTCGCATCCGAGGCGCTGAGGGCGGAGCAGATCAACATGGCTACGGGAGAAGCTGAGGCAATCCTTCTGCGGGCTCGTGCGACTGCAACTGGTATCGATTCTGTTGCACGAAGCATTGCACAGGGCGGGACAAGTGCTCAAGGCGCAGTCTCTCTCTCTGTAGCCGAGAAGTATGTTGATGCGTTCGCAAACTTGGCGAAGGAGGGCACCAGTGTCATCATTCCCGGCAATGTCGGCGACATCGGAGGTATGATTGCCAGCGCCATGGCTGTGTATGGCAAAGTGAACGACTCGCAGACGAGGTTAATAGCCGCGCAAACATCAGGGAACCCGGACACACCGGCAGGGAAGAAGATCGCTGAGCTAGAAAACCAGCTGGCCGAAATTGAGGGGGGTACACATGCAGTGTCTAGCGCCATCACACGAGCCATGGACCAGAGGCTCGCGAAGAAGTAAGGCGAATGACCAGGGAGTTGCTAGTTGATCGAAGCGCAAGCGAAGGGCAAGGCAGCGCAAGCGAAGGGCAAACGAAGCGTCGGGGCTCGGGGTGTGTACTAAATGTCTACATCACTGTAACGAATATATTGTATCATTAGTTTCGAGGAGTGAACCTTGGGCATGCTTGGAGCATACGTTTTCTGGCATAGGTGCTAAAAGCATTCATCCAGTCAACTTGACACCTGAGTCTTCTTTTGGGGACAGGAAACTCTTCTCCTTTGTGTACAGGGACGATAGATGATTAGTCAATGATAATACGGCTATACTTATCACCTTTTGACGTGTGGGCATAGCGTCAACGCGAAGTGAGGAGATAAGTAGCAGAAGCCTCTACAATGCAAGATCTGTGTTTCAATCTCAATAAGAAACCAGTCTAAGGCCAAGAAATATGTGAGACTGTTCGTCTCTCGCGTGGACTCGGTCTATGCTAATAAGATATTGTACTCCGAGTGATCTAGGTTCGATTATCATTGACAACGCACATAGCAAGGCTTGCAAAAGGTCGGCGAGAACACGCACATCTCTGGAATCACGGGGGCGTTGCTTAGCCCAACAACAGTCTATTGGTCGTTCCTGGCTCCATCCAGACAACAAAAAGGATGCACAAAGGCCAAAAAGAGAGTGTAAGGGGCTGACAACGGCGCGATTCGAACGCGCGAGGTTTCCCACTGCGGAGATTGAGCAATACAACCTAAACACAGCGCCTTAACCACTCGGCCACGTTGCCAAGACATTGTTCTGACAAGCTTGCACGCTTACTCAATATATAATCTGTGTTACAAGTGGTCTTGAGGAGTATTGAGAATGTGGGTGGGTAGAGGGGCAACCGAGCACCGTTTTTTGAGCGGGGTGGCTGATGACTCCCCAGCCAAATCCACCACCTCAGGCCAGTCGATCCTGTTCGCCACACGGTGCAGTCAACATCCTTGCTCCCAGCAATTCCGTCTCTGGGAAATCATTTTAAAAAGATAATACTAGACTAAGAACATAACTTGCTTCTGTGCGGAACAGACATATTTGCGCAGAGCAAACACAAAGAACGAGTAAGAAATCACTCAAGTGTCTGTAGATGCATAGAAATTGACAGACTCACAGTATCAAACAAAATATCAACGACAAAGAATCTGGTCTGCGCAGATGACAAGTTCAGAGGAAGATCTTATCGTTTCTGTGAGTCTCAACCCACGTAGATTTATCTCTCAGCCTAGAGCAACGATCATTGCTAGTCAGACTCTTGGCTAATGGCAAACCTCGAGCTCCAAACCTCGCTCCGGAATGCACACAATACTTTTGGACCGAAGAGTTCCCAGTATCTCGAGATGAAGGATATGGTGGAGAATATTGTCAATAGCTACATCGTGAAGATGGAAGCGCAGAAAGGGAGCACGGCAGAAACGGAGACCGGGAGTGCATTTCTCCAGCAGATATTGGACGACATGCACAATTTGACATTGGGCACATGAGTGGTGCACATAGTTGGTCAATATACTTCCCATGTGCTCACGGTTTCGCGCACACGGGGTGGTTCACTTTTTGATTAAAAAGCGTTGAATTCTGGCTTGTATGCTAGACACCTCTATTCAGGATTCAGTGAATATCTTCAATGCACATTTGGGAACGCCCAGAATACCGTGAAGATCCCAATTACTCCATAACCCATCCATCTTCGACTTATTTCTACGCTAAAACACCATCATATCCATAGACTGAAGCATCAGTCCATTCATTTTCTTACCAGAACCAAAAGTTATCCCACGGCCAAAGGTTCAGATGGAAAGCAGATAGTTAAATGACACCAGCTCCCAAGTATAAATTATACCCATTCTATGCATAGGTAAACAAAATAAACAATGCTGTCCAGGTATCTCAGATCCAATCTAATGCACTCCAATACATCCCGTTATTACCGCCTCCTTCTTATCAACAAACTCTACCGCCGACTATTCGCCCTACTGACTGTAGGCTTCAACTCGCTATTCGCCCGACTTCGAGGTCTGAAGCTTTCCCTTGTGTGCACCCGGTCAATCTCATACGGATTATCATAGTACTCGTCCGCTCTACTCCTCATGCTCCTGCCCGACTTCGCACTTCTCATACTCGTTTGGCTCCTACCCGTTCGCACCTTCTCCAAGCCATTGGCTTCCTCCATCTCCTTACTGGTCTTTATCTCTTCAAACCTCGGGTGTTCTTCCTCAAACGAGTAGTCGGCAACTTCTTGCTCGGCGTTCTTCTCGACCTCGGCGAGGGAACTCGCACCGTCGGAGTCGTGCTGGGGTTCTGTGTTTTGCGCGGCAGCCCGGGCAGCCATCTGGGTTCGCATATTGGAGATGAAAGCTTCAGACTGGGCGGCGTATTTGCACTTCTTGCGGATGATACCGCCATATTTGTAAAAGAGGAAGGGAAAAGGAAGACAGGCGAGGGCGAGGAAGGCAGGGATGGTGGATGCCCAGTGAATTCCTAAGGTTGTTGGTGTTTGCAACAAAAGAAGGTAGGAAGGTGGCTTACCAAGACGAGAATACATTTGCGAGGTAAAGAGCGGGAATGCGGCACCAAAAACGGACCGTAGAATACCGTTACCCGCCAGAACAGAGGCAGCGAAGATGGTGTATGCATCTATGAGATAGTTCATGATGCTCAGGAAAATGAGCACCATTCCGAAGCCGAATGGAATACCAGCAGCCACGCTAGCCGCCCAAGGCAAGGTTGGGGAGTTTGTCCATGCGAACCAGAAGAGACCGATGGGGAGGGTTATACCACCGACAATGGCAGATGGGAGGCGATCTTCCGGGGTAGCGAAGCCTTTACCAGAGCTTTCGACACACTTCACATATCGGGGGTTATCGTAGAACATGGTGTAGGCGACAGCTGCCAACATGCCAATCGCGACGCCGATGAAGGGTAGACCACCAACACCTTCGTTCCAGCCGAAACCCTGGCGGTATACAATGGGGTAGGCGCCGAAGAGAAGGTAGAGAGTACCATAGATAATAGCCTTTCTGAATGTTAGTCTTGCAGACCACAAGGATAGGTGTAATTACTTACCATATACAAACTGAGCAAAAGCACAATAGGTTCGGTGAAAAGTAGTACCCAAGGCCTCTTCAACCCAGTTGAGAATGCTTCTCCGAGTGTGACTTTGGCCTGATCTATATCACCCTTTGGCATGTACACTCTGCCTGTATGCTTCGATAAAGCCTGGGCACGCTTTCGCAAAAGAACCGGAGGGTAAGTTTCCGGGACTATGCAGATCGCCGCGAAGAAGACACATCCTGAGAAGATGGCCATAAGGCCTTCAACCCATCTCCAACCCTCGGTCATACCCAGGAAGCCGCCAACGATGGGTCCAAGAACAGGTCCCATGAAAGGCGCAACACTGAATATACCCATTGCCAATCCACGCTCTTTTGCAGCAAACAGATCAGCAACGACGCCGCCTGCATTGGTGAGGGGGCTGGAGCCAAATGAACCACCAAGGAATCGCAAGATGAGGAGGGTCCACATGTTTTGAGATCCAGCAGCGCCAGCATTGAAGCACGTGAAGGCGCAGAATGTTCCGAAGAAGACGACTTGACGACCGTAAAGCTCACTGAAGGGCGCCCAGAGAAGAGGCCCGAGGGCGAATCCGAGAACGAAGAGCGAAATCCCCAGGGTGGCAACCTCTTGGACACTGTTGAATTCCATCATGATTTGCTGAATCCCTACACCTGTGTCAGCACTGGATGGGATCTGTGATGTCGATGATAGATACATACCTCCAGAAAACGCGGACGAGCAGAAAGAAACACAAAGTGTAGCGACGGCCATCGAAAGGCACATCGCCCATTTCTTGGTCTTGGGCCATACCATGGGATTTCGTGGATCATCGTCTATCCATTCCACAACATATGGATCCTCCTCTGTCCCACTACCATCATACTCCCATTTTATTATCGATGGCGTAAGGACACCCTGATCAAGGATGAGTTTGATGTGTGAAAATCCGTTAGGTCCTTTGCCGGACTCGATATCGGCTCCTGTGATCGTTTCCTTATCCATACTCTTATTATGCTGCCAGAAAGACAATGATTAGAAAATATTATAGAAAAGAGAAGAAAATTGTATCAAAAATGATAAGAAGGGGCCCGGTATATGGGGTACAATCCAATAGTCAGGCTCCGCAGTCGACGCCAACCAGAGGAACTCAAAAAGCCATCCACCCAAGCTCCGGGCGACCTCAGTGTCAAATACCTCTCAAGCGCCCCTGTGCCTCATCCACAGGCAATCGCCAGTGATACCAAAGTATCTTCGCCCCCTTCAAGCCTAGTCTGATCCACCATTTCACCCAACCTCGGCTCAGCCCAAGTGCCACACCCATCGTTGCTGCAATTAACCTCCAAAGAAGCCTTTAGTTTCCGTCTTGGTGCCACTTTACCATGGGTTTATCGGCACTGTAGCATGCCAAGGGAGTTGATGCCAGTGGACCCTGTGCTGATCTCAGGAGGCTGCTCTATGCGTCACCATTTTTTCAACGCACTAGTCCTAAGCTAGTAATTTCCGAGGCTGCGAAAGATACGACACGGCGACAGCGAAGAGTGGTCGGAGGATCGGACGTAGAAATGGAGACGGACGGTCCAATGCCGAGTTTTGTTGGATGCACAGATGCGTTACAGTACCAAAATAACAATAATAATAGGTACTCTACGTGACATCTCAGCCCATCACCTCGACCGATTCTTCCTCTTTCCTTACAATTTGTAAAAACATTTCAGCTCTGAGAAGTCTGGGTCGCGTGCCCAGCCAGAGTTCACCTTCTTCCAGAACAGCCATACACAAAAATGAACCCAACACCTGGTACCGGTTCGGGTCGAGCTTTACCTATGGTGTGATCATGCGAGGCCGCGTGGGACGTCGCTTGGTTCCGATGGCACCATCCTACGCGCTGAAGATCCACCCAGAGAAAAGCGGATCGTGCGGACACGAGTCTCAGTTGGGATGGGGTTGTCGTTCCTCGGCCGAAGCTTGTGTCGATTCCACGGAATCTCCATGGGGACCTCCTGGAGATGGGATGAGCTATGAGATCTATGATGGTACTGGAAGGGGTTCTTCTTGAACATGACGATCAGTTGCACATCAATAATGTGAAACCTGGCATAACTCTATGATTTACGAGCACACCGCTAGAGACTCGTAGAGTACCTGTGATGGAAGAGTTGGGCCCTGCGTCGATTATACAAGCCGCTACAAGAATAAGAAGGAGCATGTGAAAAACATGCATTGCTAAGAAGATTATAGTACCCCATTCATCCCATAACTCGTGAACGCAGCGATCAACTACCCTTACTAGGTATCAAATCCGCTGTGTGGCCTATGCGGCCTATAGAACTCCTAACCCAAGCCCAATCATACAGTATGCTAATCCACCCCAATCACAAACTTTTCCATGATGCTCTTCGTATGTATTAAGAACTTTGGTCTTCCAGTTCTCCAAGGTCTGTACTTTTCTGACCTTAAACCTCATTGCTAGGATACTCCACCTTCTCTGTAGCCACGAATTCTTCTTTGATAGACCTCATATTCACGAATCTAGCAAGAAGATTCGCACTCCCCGCCTTATCATTCGTTCCACTGGCCCTTGATCCACCGAATGGTTGCTGTCCAACGACTGCTCCAGTGCACTTGCAGTTGATATAGAAATTACCTGCAGAGTCTCTAAGCGCATCTTCTGCGAACCGTATGGCTTCTCTATCC